TGACATTAACAGCCAAGGAACAGCAAGAAGGATTCAGAGACAGGTTTGAAGCTACTTTAAACTGGATTTTTTTTGGAAGCTGCCCTGACTTCATGACAGACAGAGTTCAAGAACCAGAAGAAACGTGGAAATAATCCAGAGACACGATCCTCTTTGCCTGCAAAGCTGGTCTGCTCTGATTTGGCCACAGATCAGTCCAACTTCCCCCTCAACCCTCACTCCTGTAGACGCGGGTTTCATACTAATGCCCTCATCCTGGCCAAGGAGGGCATTTTGATGCAATTTGCCCTTGTTCCACCTCAAGTGACAAGAGAAGGCAGTAAAAGAGCCACCACTCAACTTTGACCTTGCTGGGATGGTGGGAGTGAGAAGGCCTCACCCAAACTCAGCGTGCACATCCCACCTCCAACGTGCTTACCTTGCTTTGCTTCCTGTCCAGATAGAACTGGTGTTGACTAATGGCCATAGCCCAGATAGACTTTATCAGCGCCGGGCAGGCGTACCAGGTGTGCACAGCGATGCCACTATGCCCAAAAGTCCTCCTGGTCACAGACGCCCTGGAGAGGAGGAAAGAGCAAAGTGGGATTACAGTTTCCTTGCATGGGTTCTGCTGCAGAAAAGAACCACAGGCCTCACAGGAAAAGTGGCTGTCCTTGCTGAGACACTCTTGCAGCAACGGGGAAAACGCCTGGAGAACAGTAATGAACGGCTATCCAAGCCCAGGGAGCCTTTGCTTACTGCACTAGCCAACTTTGCCCATTTTGAACAGAGCTCCTGGGTTTGGTTCAGCTGCCTTTGGCCTTTGCGTGTCAGAGGAGTCAATAGTGACAAAGTGCCTGGATCCCCACATGCCGAGATGCCCAAGATCAATCTTCACCCCTTCCACTACCTCTGGCTTTGAACAGTGGCTCCCAAGTATCAGGACAACTGGATCAATAGCTGCTTTAAAGAATATGGGAGCAAAAATTCCAGGTACCTCAATTTCCCCATTTCCAGAGGGCAGCAGGGCTCTCCACACGGAGCCGTGCGGCTCGGAACGGCTGCCTAGAGCCCTGCAGAGGAGAACGTGCCCCAGCAACTAGCTGAGCGAATATAAAAACAGGAAAAATAAGAGCTAAATGTTTCCTCTTTGGGACTCCCAATGGCCCTCAAATATTAGCAACAGACACAGGTTAGGCTGCCCCGTGCTTTCACAGCTGTGCAGACCTGCCCCGTCATTGCTCCTCATCCCTCAACTCCAACCTCGGCGCGGCTGGGTGAGCGCTGCACGGACCCACAGCATCCTGCTCTGCAGCCCTCCTCCCGCTGCAGGGACATCCAATTAAACTGAGCCACTAATCTCCAGGGTCCGAACACACAGGATCCTCCTCTCCAGTCCACTGAGGCTCTATAACTATGAAAATGAACACGAGCACAGGAATACAGCTGAGAAATGCAATGCTTTGTTATGGCCTTTCGCTCCTGGACGTGGATAGTGACGGGAGGCCAGCACGAGTGACAGCAGGGGATGAGATGTGCTACGGTGCTGCCTGTCCACAGCCCACAGGCACTTTGTGCACTCCCGTGTCCCCATCCGAAACTGGAGGCAATGGAGAGGAGGAGGGAAAACACATGGTGGGAGAAAGCTGTGATGGAGCTGAGAATGAAGGAAAAGTGAAATGCTGAAGAAAAATGGTAATGGAGGCCTTTTCAGCACTGCAAAACACATTACTGACTCAAATTACTAGGCCACCAATCGGAATGAAATATCTGTGAAAACAGCCAGGACAAACAAGGCTTGTGACAACGAGATCCCAGGGCTACCCGGGCTCAGGCCCTTCCCATCCTGCCCTGTCCCATCCTTTCCATGGATGCAGCAGTCCGGAGGCAGCAGATCCCGCTGAGGAGGACGCTGGGCAGCCCCATCCCCGTCATGCGGCCTGGCACAAGGGCTGTGCACAGAGGCTGAAGGGCAGGATTCAACTCCGGTGACTTTATATAGGCCCGAAGGACACAAATCACTGCAGCGCACTGGCCTAAAAGGCTCCAAGACATTAAAGCACTCGGGCATATCCGAGCCTAAATCTTGGTGTCATCCTACTTAATTCAAATGTCGCTACTTGTTTTCAACTCTTGGAAGCAACCCCAAACCATTCATCATCTTATCTTAAAAGCAGCAGTTTCCTAGGCTTTGGATTTTTTTTGACCTGTTTACTTAAGCTGATCCCAGATATAGGTTTGCTTTTCACATCTATGTTGTGAGGAGCTCTTAGAAATGGCCCATGGATTTTTTTTTTCCCCCGCAACTTTCGTCCGTGCACGGTATGGAACCAACCCTGTTGATACACCCCAAAACGCAGCATTTCCCTCCTCTAAGGGATACGGAGACAGGAGCAGGGACAGGACGGAGCCCGGCCGAGCCTGCCCTGCTGAGCCCAGCGTGGCTGCGCTGACTCAGCCTCTGCCTTGGAAATGCCGGGAATGCCGGTGCCGGTTATTCCTCCGCCTCGGCATGCGGACGGAGTCCTCGCAGAGTCCGTCCCGGTCGGATCCCGGTTCTCCGGACCATTTTCACTTTCTTTTCCTTGCGGTCGCCTCCAGCCTTGGCGTTTCAGGGAGCCGTGTTTGCAGCCGCGAGGCGCTGGAAGAAGGACACCAGCCCCGGCTCCTGCTGCTGGGAGATCTCCCAGCGTCTTCCCGGCACGGGAATTCCCTCTGCTGGATTTCACGGGACCATTTACATGCTTAATATTAAGCAGATGCTTCAGCGCTCTGCTGCCCTGCAGCTGCACGTTGCTAAGAGCGGCTCCACTCAGGTTTTGCTTTAACCAAAAATAAATACGTATATAATGCATATAGGCACCCTTGTACTGGTGTGGCTGCGCTCAAATAAACAAACGATATTGAAGCTGAATGCAAAAGCGCCTTACTCAGAGCACATATATTAGTATATGGATCGGCATGGAAAACAGGTGAAACAGGATCACAGAGCTCATGAAAACACACGGAAAAAACAGCGCTGGTTTCCATGAACTAGCCTTATTTGCCCTTCACGTTACAAGGGGCCCGTGGATTTCAAAGGGAACAGTTTACAGAGCAGTTTATGCACCGGGGGGTCCTTCTCCCGCTCTGCTGAGGCAAAAGCGTGAGGGGGACGGCTACCGCGTTTGCAAAAGCCCGGCGGTAAAAGCAAACCAAAAACAACCGAAAAAA